AGAAAAAAGAAATACTCTGTATTAGAACAAAAAAAAAAAAAAAAAAAAAAAAAGGGAAGGCATGGCAGATTATGTTGGATGTCCATCAGGTCTATCTTGATTGATGGTTTCAGCAAAGTTAGATGTATCTAGTACTTCCACTATTCTCGGGAGCTCCAAGTACATTCCTTAATCCAGACATAAAGCTAATACTGATGACAAAAAATGTAAGGCTGCAAGAGGTAACTGATGAAGGAGGTGATCAAACACAACAGAAGACTGTATTTTTGCAGCCAGTTGCAGTTGATGCATTATCTTCCATCTGTGCAGTCATATGCCAGCTCAGAAAGTGGAAATGATTTGTATGAATCCATTTAAGAATTTTAGGTTTATTTGTTCAAGATGCTGGATTCCTTTATCCAGCATCTCCAATGCCACAGAAGTTCACTGCAAGTTCAGAACTGAAGCTCTTACTTCTGCATGGAAAGGCTGATCACAGGAGACATACAGAATTGTGAAGAACAGTCTTGACCACAAACCATCTCTTTCTATATAAATATAGAAAATTGAGTAGGTCTGAAAGGTAATATTTTTTTCAAATCTCCACATTACCTTGATGTTGTAAAAATTCCATACACAAGTGTTGTTCTGGGGTTATCCATTTCCAAAAGAAACACATCCTCTGTAAGAAAAAAAAAAAAAACCAGTTTCTGAATAGTTACACTAAGTTTATTTTCCAGTCAAACAATGACTTTATTCCTATTGAAGTAGTTTTGTCTCTGWCTTGAATTGGAAAAAGCAAATTTATCATATGATTGGACCATACACAGAAATCTTGCACTTGAACATTGAGAAACAGATTTTATAATTAACTGCACACTATCTAGCCTTCTGAAGAGAGAAGGCAAAGATTTTCAAATGTGTTCAGCATCCATTTCTCGCATTTCTCTCAGCCAGATTTCATTCGACCTAAATTTAGAGCTATGACTTTGTATATCACAGCCATGGACAATACAGATTTTGAAACTTTGTAACAGTGTTTTTTGGCATTTAAGGATTAAGATCTACATTTAATTAATTCTTGACTGAGAAGAAACCTTATTATGATTGCTGTATAGACTTGCCATTGAATGTCTACAGTGATTCACATATGGAACTGACATATAAATGTTTGAATAAATCCCAAGAAAATATATTTATTCATTATATGTTTGTTAATGCCGGTAAGGGCATTCAGTAGTATTAGCTTAAGCCATCAGATAGAGTCCTCCGAAAAAGAAGGCTGTATGTTAAACAGTAGTATATTAAACAGTTTCAAACAAATATACATCAAAAAAAACCTTCTATCATAATCTTAGATAGTAGAAAAATAACAATGGACAGCACTTACGTGTTTCCTTCTAAATATTATTTCCCTACGTATATATTCTTTAAAAAGTTAACATTAATTTTTTTTTTAGTTCAAAGATGTAATGCCAATGACTCAGAGTTATGAAGAAATCTTTTGTTTTCTGTCAAAAAGCTTCAAGAGGAATTTGTTATGGACTTCTACCGGTCCAAATATCACTGTGGAAATTTCAGTGCTTCAATATGTTAAGGGTAGAGGATTRTTCAGGGTAAAATGTTCAGGGTAAAATATGTTCAGGGTAAAACTCTATAGAGACTGTTTCTATACCTAATTCATCAAAGTATGTTTCTGTTCCATCTTCATCCATTACTGAGCACACAAGTCTTGCTTTCAAGAACGTTGTCCACTTATTTACAAGACTACGTTGACCACCTGTGTCATTCTGGAAAATAATATTATTTTCATTAAAATGAAAACAACAACACAGTTAATAATTTATTGGATTTTCCCACATTTTTCTGGGATTACTGCTTATCATCATCTACAAATACAATCCAATACAAAAAAACAGATAGCCTAAATCAGCCCTTCCTCATCTAAATACTGTAGACCTGGCTGAGAACAAAAACAAATTTTCTGAGGAGATTTTCTCAGCTGGGCTAGCAAACTTGGGATGACACCTCATTTTGAGCAACAAGCTACAGGCACGTTCGGATTAATTTTACTTTATGGATGGAGAATTATGGAAGTCAGCAGTGAGTTGAGAACAATCTCTGCCTTATAGTCCTCCTCATGTTTCTTCTTTCATTTCTTTGAAGAATACATGCTCAATGTGACTTGTTTCCTAGTGCTATCTCTGTGAGCACACTGCTAGCTAGCTCAGGGAGCTTCAGTGCAAAGGAGAAAGAATAATTAGTAAATCTGAAAATACACATAGTGATGATACCTCCTGGTTCTTTTTGCTGTTGAAGGTCTTAGCTAAGAGCATCATCTTGGAAACAGTGTATCACAGTGTCACAGAAGGAAAAAGGGACAATGAGGAAAATATATAAATGTTATTGGTCCAATATGCTTTGCATGTTGTTCTATTCATGCTCCTGGAACCAATAATGAGACTTTTAGTGGCACCCGCAGTGAGCTTTTTGAGCGGGCTCTTTTGRCACCATTGTATTAATCTATTTGGTCTGTCTCAAAGGTTTTGATATCTAAATATGATAGCATGTGAGTATTTCTACTGCAGATTCATATTTGTGGACTTGGGAATTTGTCATTGACTTCAATTAAAGTCTGAACAGTCTGAGGCCTTTCAGCATCATCTGTGCCTCATTATAATAGTAASAATAATAACACAGATGTAATACTGTGAAATACCTTCTTGCAAAATACCCAAAAGGGCCTTTGGGCACCTTCACAAAAACAGGGGGATTATGAAACAGATTACATGTCTCCTCATGTTGCCAGAGAAGGAACTTAATATAATCCAATATGTGCCCTTACATACTCCACAACAACATAACCAAACATCTAATTCTAAAGAAAATCCAGATTAAAGAACTGGAACACACAAAGCGTGACAATTCCTGCTTTTTCGAAAAGAAAGAATGAAAAGGCTAGCAGTAATTTTACATTTTACAATTTTGTTCCCATAAAAAAAAGTAGCTGCATTTCACAAGAATTATTAATAGCTGCTTCAATTATTTTTCATATACACTTGATTATAAATACAAAAAAAGAAAGAGAAAATGAGGGGTGTGGTGACCACAACCACAACTCCTGAGATTAATGTCTGCATGCATGTTCTTAGAGTTAGGCTCATACATATGTCAATGTAAGATAGCAGAAAGGAAAAATACTGTAAAAATTAAAGCAATATTTGAAAGTTAAATCAAACTATTTAAAAGCTGGATTCTGATATTTTCATTTGCACACACACACACACACACACACAYATATATATAWAAAATGTCTTTGGGGTGAAAGCCTTAGCTTTTTTATAGTTGAGTTTTTCTACACAAAACCCCTGCCTGATGCATGCGAAAAAAAGTATGTTTGGAAATTCAGCACTGCTATATCTATTCTGAACCCGTCAGGGAAATATACAATTTCCTCAATTTCTATATTTCCATAACAGAATAGATATAGCCAGTTCTAAATAACAAGCTGAGGCCCTAACTGTGTATTCAGTAATTTCTCAATTATGAATGTGGAAGGTGAAAACAGAGATTTGTTTCTAATATGAATTAAATGCTTTTCAATCACTTTAATGAAACAATCATTTAGMTTATCAAATTGCAGTACTTGTTTGTCACAGCAACCCGGTACACAAAACATTTCTTACTGGGCATATTCTTGCAATCATTGAATGAATTTGCTTTGTGCTGCCGCTGTTGTCTGTGAGTCTTTCTTTGAAGAAGAAGTAGACTTTGGCATCATTGGGGTCAGTGCCATCTGGGATAACATGAGCATCCACAAAAATAGGCTCTGAAATGAAACACGACAAAAGATGTATAAGCAGTTAATGTTTTGACAATTACTGATCCCTTTAGGGAATTGCTATATAATGCATATAGATGCTTTGCTGTGGCAGGCTGAGCTTAGTTCTAGCCTCACATCACTAGGTAAATGGTTTCAAGTCAGCAGCATTTCTGCTGCATCTCATTTTATCCTGCATGAGATTTTTAGAAAAGTGATTCAAATACAGAAGTAGGAGTTCATTGCAGGATCTAAAAGATTTTGAGGAAGAGAGGAGAAAAATCAGTGAGTTTTCGGGGTACTTTAGGAAAGATTCCTTGAGGGAAAATGTAAGTAGCTGAAAGACTCACTAGGAAAAAATAAACAAGATGATAATTAAAAATACATAAATAAGAGAGGAAAGTTGCTTTTGGAACCCTAAAAAAAAAAAAAAAAAAAAAAAAAAAAAGCAGGATTTACAGCAGGATTTACAGCAAAGTTTCCTTCAGTTAGTGTCAGAGGATGATAAGCAGTGAAGCATATATGCCGTGCACTGCAAGGGAGCACTGAAAGAGAGAAAAGTAATAAAAATAAGAGAATGCATGGAATTTTTGAAGGACATACATACACCTAAGATCAGAAAACAGAGTAGTACTATTACTAGTATTCTCCTTTAAACAGTACGTCGTGATTAGCAAGTGACTGTGTACTACTACAATCCATTTCTTTTAGGCAAGCCCTATTGCAGTTACTACCTGCCTTTTCTTTTGGCAGTTTCCTATGCTAAAATCTACTAAAAAGTCAGGGGAGACCTCAGAAGATCTTCTCCTTTGCCTCCTCTTGTTTAATCTGTTTAATCTGTTATGGTTAATGCAAGATTGCTTGATCGGTTGAAATTGAGTAAAAATCTTGAAATGCCCTAATTCAAAGCTTTGATCTCTGATGGAAAATTCATGCCCATGACTGTAGCATTTTTGTGTTCTCATGAGGCCATTCTCTACTATATCAAGGATCATGATTCTATCTCTAAAAGAACATGGATAGAACCTGTGCTTGTCAAATACCTCTTCTGAGCATGTATATCAGGGAGATTATCCAGTAATTAGATATTTTTAATGGTATTGTTTCCTGATTCATGCTATGGTATGTATGGGTGTATAAGACAGTAGAAAATAGAAGAACAAGTTAGAAAACAGATACAGTTTCCCCTTTATAGTGAATCTCTTATATACTGAAAAAGCAAATTGTAATCCTGTGGTAGCAGTTACAGGYATACACAGGTGTAACTAGAGTCTGTACTAGAGAGTAGAACTTAAAGGAATCACCCTAATAAATGGCAAAAGTAAGTTGCCATTTAATAACTGCTTAAGAACTTAAAGTATGTTTTAAAGATACTTGAAGTATGTTTATATCAATATACTTTGAAGGCTTTTTAAAACTGAACTATTATGTTATTTACTCCTAACCTTTGACATCTGCCTTTAGTGAGGGATTCCACCATCATTTTCATTCAATGTAGTGTCACTGAAAGAAATCTTCTCATCAGTGAAGTTAGGGAGAGTTTCCACATTGACTTCAATGAAGCCATGTGTTAAGTTTATTGTACTCAGATTTCCTAATGTGTCTTGATAATCAATCTCTTTTCATAGAAATAAATGGCAAAAATTCTTATTGATTTAACTAATAATAAGACTCTCTACTAAATACATTTTGAGTACAAGTGGATGTGAGCCCTCCGTAAGAGGTAGATTAACCTGTATTGACTAAAGTTTGTAATTCAGGTAAAAGGCCTTAGAACCATACATTCTATTTTAAAGCAATGTCCTATGCTTTTACAGTGAAAAAAGTACTCCCTTGGAAGTCAATCTGCCTGATGTTTTGTGTTTTGAAAGTTTTTCCTGCACTTTCCACCAGAAGGGGTGTCCCATGAGGCTGTGAATCTTCTGTTTCCTCACACCACGTGAATTGCACTGTGTACAACATGTGTTTGCAAACATTTCTTCTTCATGGGCTCACTTTATAAATTGAATTCAGAAGGGAGAATAAAATCTATTTATTTTAAGTGAAACAAAGCATAGCCTCTGTAAAACAGATTAAAAGTTTTGTTAAAATAAACCCAACTTACCGCTTAGCCACTTTGAGTTGTGTTGATCGGTTCTTACAGCATTGCGTTTAGTTAGGCTCCGGAAAATGGCAGCATCTGTCCCCATGAAATCAATGTACATTCCTGAAAAAAGTTCTTCATCTACAGAGAATTGAAATAGGGGAGGGGAAGGGAAGAGAAAATAAATGCCTCTTGAGAAATCCCTATTTAGTGATCTATGCTTATTTAAAACTCTTGCCAGCTCTTTATTTGCATAGTAGTCTGTGCACTTAAATCTTGGGTGGTAGGAATTAGGAATGATGTCTCCTCTGCTTTACAAAGGCAGAACCTAGACTGAAAGAGAATCATCAAATTTTGCTCAAGGACTCTAGGGAACTGCATTATTAAATGCGGCTGAAAAACCACATATGTGGTGAGCCTTTCTTTGATTCAAAGTTTTAATGACTGAACTTTCATGGCTAAGTACCATTGGAAAATCAGACTAGTCTTATCAAAAGGCATCACATTCAATTTTTATGTAAGTGCTTAGAAAAGCTTTTTTTTTTTCTTATAGGAGTAGACAAAATGACTGRGCTGAATTTATTGCTGGTGTAACTGGCACAACATCTATTGCAGTCAATGGCCCCATGCCAGTTTCTACCAAGAGTATTCTCAAGGCTGCCCCAGGCAGCCTCAAGCTGACTTCAGTATTGCAGAGGCCAGAGAATCATCTTATTGAACTTTACTCAGAGTAATATGGTGCAACAATTGCCCTCTTTTATATACTTGATTCTAAGTATAGGTCTATTTTGTATGAGCAGAATTAGACATGAAACCCATTAACAGAATTACAAACTTCTGTCCTCCCAATACAGGACTGAAAATTCAGTCCATCTGTCTGACTGTATATCTGTGTTTGTGTGTGTGTATGCATAAATATATATGTATAATTATAATTACATATGCTATCATTTTCCATTCCATGATTAACCAAGCAATTTCCACTGACTAATGGCAATGAAACCCCAGAGTAAAAAACAGTAGCTAAAATAAACTTCAACTTTCAGAGTGGGAGTGGTGGCTGAATACATTCCAGTACAGCTGGGTCCTTTGATTGATGTTTTTGTCTGAATTCCTGCACTACCCAGAGAGTGTGGTCAATCTGGCAAGAGTCACAGGTTCTAAAGTGCTAGAGGCTATTTTAAAGCTTTGATGTGTGTGTGTGTGTGTGTGTGTGTGTGTGTGTGTGTGTTTGCACACATCAATATGGAAGACTATTGGCACGTGACAGAATTAAATCCTTGAGACTGTGTTTTTCTACTACTGGTTACAGCCCAGGCTGAACTCCTACAGATCAGCTAGTGGATATTGCAGCCATTCTGCTTTTGTCTCTCCYAGGGAAGAGAACATTCATACCCAGGTGAACTCATTCTCTTGGGGTGGAAAAGTACAAAGACTTAAACAGTGTGTTTGCTGCTTGTCTGTGAAAAATTTACACCCCAAATACATAATGAAAAGAATGATCAATACTTAGTACTAACTTAAACAGTTAGGTCGATACGAATAATTAGTTTCTGTATATCAGCCTCATTGCCTTAAACTATCAAAGCTTTATTCTGATGAAGTAAGTTAGTTGAAAGAAATCAGACTTATACTTCTCACTAATTCTCAGTGCTTTGTATGCACATATACACATAGAACTGATGACAACGACAATTTTTAATTTTTAATCCTGTTACATGTAAACTCTATCAGGTATTCCTTAAGCAAGAGTCTACTTGCTAATCACACACCAGATGACATATCTCAGCTCTGCTTCCTTTTAGTTAATTTCTTGAATTACACARTGATTTTTTTTTTCTTCACAGAACAATTAATTTCCCCTACTTCTCTTTGTTATTTGGGGAACTACTGAATTGATGAGGTATGTCTACTTATGTAAATACTTCAGAGCCTTGTTGGGAAAAAAGACATACATCTTACACTGGAGTTATGGCAGGCTTTATCAAAGCACATTTTTTTATTGCTTTGATGCAAAAGTGTACAATGGTAAATCATACCGAGTTCTAATTTGTTTTTATCCTCTGAAGAGTGAAACAGCTTTCCTGTTTCATTGTAAGGTCATATTGTGTGTTATGCAGGATGTTAGTAATGCCCCAAATTCATGAGATATTGCAGCTATATTTAAAAATGGTTCTTTTATTGTGTAAGAGTTATCCAGTCTAGCAGCATTTCCCAACTTCTGAAGACAGGAATTTCTTTTGCAGAATAACTCTCACAAGAGTTCACTACCACAGCTTTCGTCCCCATCATTTTTAGGTCATGCTGTCAATTATAAAATCATCTTTTCCAGCATGGATTTTGATGCTAACTTCATTCAAGCTTAATGTTTTTGAARTGACTTTGTCTTGTAGTTGCAGGGATTTCTGAGAAAAAAAGTATATAATGAAATCTGTAGGAAAGTCTTAAAAAAGGATATGACCTCTGTTGAATAATTTAAACCTTGGAGATGAATTACATCATAAAAGATGTGTCCAACACAGAGGGAGGTCTCTTCAGTCACATAACTCAGGGATCAAGGAAGATAATGTAAAGTCTACTAAGATGAACAAAGTTGCCATAAATCTACTACAGGAAAAAAAAAAATTAGTGTTCAGAAACAGTATACTTTGTACTCAGATTTCATAAAATCTAGAAAGAATGAGTAAATTTTATTCTTTAATGATAATAATTCACTTAATAAGACCAGAATAGTAGTGAGGAGCCATGGATTAATCCATCACTGGATTTGAACAAATGTTTTCTTACTCAGTGTGTAYCTCTAAACACTGAACACAGATCACTACGGAGATAAAAACATGAAGGGAACGAATTGTCAGAGAGGTATCTTGGCAGCATTTCCAGGCTTAACATTAGAATTCCCCTTTAGGTCATACCTCTGTAAAAGAAATTATTTGTCTTTTATACTATCAGCTATTAGGAATCAAAAAATATTTAAATTTACAGTTTGAAGAATATTGATAATAGAATATATCAATTTATGGTAGAATATCTTCCTTATGCTCCATGAGACCCAAACTTTTAAGAAAATATCTGGTCCAACGAGATGTATAATTCTCACTGATTTCAGTGGCAGTCAAATGCCAGACAAACCACACACTGCTTCTTTGCAAACCTGGGGTCAAATATCTAGTGTTCTGCATGCACTAAATTCTCTTTGCTAAAGGAAGTGTGAAAAATCTGTGCCCTGGGTGTTCCCTTTGCCGTCATGAATATTGCAAGAATTAGGTGCATATTCAGATCTCGAGGCTTTGGATGCAGAAGCCTGTGAGAGTGTTGGGAAGGTGAAGGGCAGCAAGGAGGACCCGCAGCTCAACAAGGGCTAGCACAGCTTGGGGGCAGCCCAGACGTCTGGGCAGGCCCCTGTTCTGCTCGCTGGCCTGTCAGCGTGCACGATGCTGGGAACTCCTGCCAGTGGACAGCACAGGGGAAACAAAAGGGTTGATTGAGCAAGACGAATGAACTAATGCAATGTTTAGTCATCTAAGTGCCACAACTTAGCCCAGTTCTCGTTTGTGAGACAGCGGGGAGTTTCTTGGGGAATCACTGACTCAGTATGCCCACTGAGGAGCACTGGGCTGCTCCTCAAGGATGTCCACAGGCTAATCTTCTGGGTTTTTTATTTTTTTTTTAATTTCTTTTGTTAATGACTTTGATTAGACAAAGCTTATATATTTCCCCACTGAATTGCACTGGGGTGTATAATAGGCACAGTCTTAATTACTGCAAAGGGAATTATCTCCCTGTCACTGAGCACAGTCCCCAGCAATGCAAAAGGATATTTTAAGTGTGCCAGTTGTACYACTTTCTGTCTTTCATATGGAAGAAAATCGCTAAGTTGGTTGAGTATAAAKCCAATTGAGGAATGAAGAGCCTTGTAATAGCTGGTGGGCTCTACAGCAGAGATGACAAGAAAAATGAAATTCAAACTAAAGTCTTGAGGATTCCTTTCCCTGTCTGCACAGAGATGTTACAAATGATTAAATGAGACACAAGCACTGCCCATGATGAACAAGGTCAGAAACTGTTCAAATAGAAATGCTAGACAGGGTAATGGAAAGTTGAAACTAACCCTGGGAAAAAATGCATACKCTGGAAAAGCAACAATCTTTTGTTTTCTGTTTGTCTCCTTCTTTCTCTCAACAGCTAATTTTTGCATTTTGTTCACACATCCTTAGCTTCTTGTAAACCTTGTAACAACTTCTGTGCATTAGCACTAATACAACAACCTGCTTTTCAAAGGCTGAAATCTGTGCCCAGCTCATATATGGCATCTCATTATTTCACACTGTGACTGATAACAATGAGTTAGACCTCAACATCTCAGAGTGGTTTTACTTACTGATCATAACAGACACCGTGTTCACATTAGGGTTGAAAGAGCAGCGTCCCTTCCCTGATTCACACTTGGAGTCAATCTTGAAGATTTGTTCCTGCAATGTAGATGTTGATGTCACTTCTCATTTCAGAAACCTTCACAGATAAAGCACTTTTTCTGCTTTGCTGTTTCCAGCATTAACAACGGTCAGTTCAGGACTGTCTGCAATTTAGCTTTTCCATGCAGATTTGTATCAACTTTTTAGGCAAATTTTTCACCCTTACTCAGTTATTTTCATGATTCTAGTTGCCCATTGCCAATATTGAAATAGAGATTTTATTTTCCTCCAGCTCTGTTATACTTCAGAGTCTTTGATTGTTCTGATAATACTACAAAATCATCTGTGAAAATTAACTGTATGTTTTTGAAATTATTGTTTATTTGACAAATACATGGTGATACTTTTACTGGTTCAAAACATTTACAGTAAAGCTACTAGAACGAATGTTAAATATAAATCTTTTATGACAATCTTTTTGTTATAGTACAAATATTTTGCTTTTTACTGGGGTATCAAGCCTCCAAAACCCTAAATCAAACTTCTTTTATTCAGTGCCATTTTTTGGATTAAACTCAGAGCACCGGTTGTATAATGATCGATGATTTACTAGTATCTCTTGTTGAAGCCAGAAATCTCTTGGAATTTTTTTGCTGTTTAAGAAACTTTGTAAGAGGGTTTTATTTATATTTTATGGGATTTATAAATAGGAAATATATTTGGCAAAGTATAAACAATCTGGACAACAGCTTGAAATACAGACAGACTGAACATCTTTGGACTATACCTCCATCTTGSCACACTTCTTAATTTCCAAGTTCCCAATAAATATTAAAGAAAGAGTGCAGGTTTGCTGAACAAAAAGGAACTTTTGGGCCCAAGTCATTCATTGCAGACAGTAATGGAGTAGATATAGATCTATAGCACCTCTACTCACATGCCAGTGCCCACTACCTGGAAAACTTGTTCCTAGCATCCTATTACAAACTTAGACTACTTAATGAAAGACACAATTTCATAGGAGTGAAAAACAAAACGAAACAAAACAATAAAACTTTATCTCACTTTCAATTGAAAAAATAGTTGACCAAAAATCCAAAGGAAGGCTTTTGTGATATACATACCAATGTTGTGGGTATTAAACTAAAGCCAGCAAGCAACTCCTTATATCCTCTTTCACTACTAATGCAAATCACAATGGAACTGGGATGCCACACAGATCACTGAGCAGCCATCTGGCGATAATAAATTGCAGACTCTACATATCTGTAATGCTCTGCTACAACAGGAAGTCTTGTATTTTATTATCCCTTATCTCTTTTCTCTCTCTTCTGTTTTGCCTGATTTAATCACTGAGATCTTATCTGCCACTTTAGCAATATGCCCTCTAAATAATGATAAAACAGAACTACTAAGTTTCTACTATGATCTTGGGGTTTTTTTGTTTGTTTGTTTTACATCTAGATTAGTATCTAGTTTGATGTTAATCTATATTTACTATATTCTGCCACTATTTACCGAATCAAAATGTGCAATACTGCACTATTAAACTTGCCCCAGGATAATATTTCATTTTAATATATATTAAACTCTTTAGTTATTCTGTAATTAATTCACAAAATGATTATATTTGCTGCTTTTTGCAACTGCTGTGCTCTTACATTTGTATGACTAAAAAGTCATTAACAAAGATCAAAATATCCAGTATGCAGAGCAAGAACTGTTTTTCAAAATTTSCTTCAGGGAAGCACGTCTAAATAAATAAGGAAAACTTTCTGTRTCATTGATGAAGTCACTTTGGAGACAAAAGAACAAAATAAGACTAGTTCTTATGACTGTTGGATATGAATCTTACTGTCAGGCTAGTAGCTAGAGAAAAACAGATGTTCTTTTTAAAAAGAGCAATTTTGCACCTGCAAAAATGGACTTCTGCACATGGAAAACTATGAAAAACTCAAGGTGAAATGATAAAAGCAGAAGAAAAAAGAGTTTTCACTCTTCTCATCAATACTACATAGTTCTTCACTCTTTTCTATTAATTAGGCATGCATTTCTTATTAGGCATGCATTTATATATGCAGTAGGCTCAGAAGGAAATACTTGATTTTAAACCGTTATGCTATTGTTGGCCTGTGTAGTAATGGCTTTGAGATTCCAATGCCTACAGTCAAATGTCTGACAGACTCCAGACGTCTGAAACATCAGTTTATTTAATCAATTGATCATAGGCATGTAGCTATACAGACAGGCTGAAGGAAGCCAATTCTGCTCTTCTAAGAAGTTATGTATTTTTATCTTAAACTTAAGAAATTTAACATCTTGCATCATCTGGAAGTCTCTTGTATTTTTTTTTTTCCTCTCCAATAGAAATCTCATGTACAGCAAGCCAAAAATCAAGGAGTCAAAAGTTTTCTGGATTATGATACTACTACTTAAGCTTATAAAAGAGTATTGCATATATTAGAAACAAATGAGATCACTTCATATGTTTCAACTATTTTTTCAATGAACAAATTTGGATAATGAGTTGCTAACTGAAGAAAACAAGCCTCTGTTTCACAGTATAAGCAAAATAAGCTAATGAAGATTATGCAAGGCAGAGGAATGGATTTATTCCAGCAATTCTGCTTGCTTGTGCTTTTTAAATCCAGGTCGACGAACCTCTGCTTCTGGACAACTCATTAGGAGTGAAGGTGCAGTGATTCAGACTACATCCTCTGTGAAGGAGGCTGGAGCCAGATAGCGATCTGCTGAAAGCAGCTGAGATCATCCTGTGCAAACCTACCTGGAGAAGGTAGGTTGATTTATCGCCTCCCTGGCAGCCTCTGCAGTAGGCCTGGGTCTTGGCCAGAATTCCTGTCATACTCCCAATAAAACCAGTGATGTATTTCCCACTGTCTTGCTTAGAAGCAAGCTCCGCTTTTAAAGTTGCCCTCTCATGGCAGAAGTCCAGGTTGCACTCTCTCATCTTGCTTTCTAACACATCTGCTTCCACATTGCACAGGAAAATATACAGCACACCCCTGTGCCTGCGGATATGAATCTAACCCAAAAGCTACTGAGGTGCTGGATCACAGATAAATGCTTTCCTTTCTCCCTCTGCTTGCTTAATTTATTACCTATTACATTTGCACATAAACAAACATTTCACTTTCAAAGSATGAACTGTGGACAATGTATTTATGAAACATCTGGTACTTTGTATATTTAAAATACACAGTTAAACTGAATACAGAAAAATTGAAGACCTATTTAGAGAAAATGAGATTTACACCCGTGAGGATCTAACAGTGAGCAGAAAACTTGCTAACTTCATCCTGACAGAATCCACTGGGGCAGAACTTCTGCTGGAGATGAAAATTCCCTGGGAATAAGACCTATAGTGGGGTTGTACCTAACTGACATTAAGCTGAAGTCCAGCAAACAGTCATACAGCTGAATAGTTAATCAACTTAAATGCTTCTTCCAGGAATCAGTAGGTAATGCATAAGAAGCTCACAAACTGCCTAATTTGCCTTTTATACAACTGTCTCTTTCTTTGCAAGTATTTCTTGACAAATTTCAAAAKTCTGAAAATATAAATCAGATAAAATAAGATGTTCTTGTTGAAAATATCCCAATATTTTAAGTGATTATTCAGTTATGACACAAGATGAGTGTCATATCTGAGCACAGTTTTTGAGGATGACTTTTAATCTTGCTGGCAACAGGATCATTACAAGATCTTTGGTTTTTTTTCTATTTGATCACAGATTTTTGAAGTACCAAAATTTTGAGTTTTGCATAGCACTAAAAAGACCAAAAAGGAGGAGATGAAACAAGAAGGGACCCACCTCAGACCTGCGCCCTCTGTTGACATACACACACACGGGGCTGAAGGCTCCGCTACCACAAACATACAGGTGTGTGCGGTTGTAGGACTGTATCACGCGCACAAAATTTCCACAGCCATGCTGCAGGGAATACAGACAACASAATTTCATGTTGGCAAACATTATTAGATATTGGGAACTCTAGGGAATCAAAACAGGTGGTAATTTTAATAGTGTCCTAAAATTTTAATATTGTCCTTGTAAACACATGTTTTACAATACAGCTTATTGTAACTAGCCACATTAATATAAATTTAGTTCAKCTTTTTTATGCTCTTTACAAAGCTAAAGGATTAACCTCCCCTCAAGGCGTCTAGCCAACTTGCTTTATGGCATGGTCTTCTGAGGGATCTGGAGGAGGGATAGAGTGCTGGGAAGCTCCAGTAAAGGGTTATCCCTTTGCTTTCTGTGTAAGAAAGAAAGATGAAGCAGGAAAACAGTTACTGAGTTTGGCAGTCACTGGATTTCAACAGCTGCAGACTTCTGTTTTCTTTCCTTGCCATTCTGTGCAGTCTGGGAATGGGGCATGGATAGGGCATTGGAGAGGAGTGACAGAGGGGTGAACATAGCTTTCTCATTATCACACAATAATCTGATTTCCATTCACAGACCCTGAATGACTGGAACAAACAGAAACTCTGCAGGAAAACAAGAAGCTACCTAAGGAAGATTATTTAATAGAGTCTCTTTTTTTCTCCTATTTTATTTCATCATAGCTGGAGATAATAATTAAAACCAAAGCAAACCCAAATCTCAGATCCYGTATTTGCGCAACGAGTTCATTTCCAAAATATTAAATCTCAGAGCAGCRTGTTACATGAACAAATTCAGAATTAATTGTTGCCGCATCTTGGCACAGATCAATGGTACCATCTTCAAGCAGTCATGAAAATTGAAACAGCACATTAGTCACACACACTAACAAACAATTTACCAAGGTTTATACTCCTTTCTCTTCTTGTTCATGCCTTTCTCACCATGATCAGCTGTTAATGTAGTTTAGGTTAAAAAAACAGACTTTTTTTCTTTATGTTTTTCTGAGATCCCAGATCTACCTTCATATTCAACCAGCCAAATCTCTACCGGTTGGAAGAAAAGTGTTTTTTTTTTTTTTTTTTTTGTGAATATAGCTTGAGAAACTGTGGTCATCAAACATTTTCAGGAAAAAAATCAGTGGAGTTAATTCATCTTGACCAAACAACAGTTCAGTTCAGCAAGAGTTGGTACTCTACTAGGACACTGGAATGTGGTGTATGATTGTAAGCTATTTGGTGTTCAAAGAAAGAGTTTCTTTAGAGTGAAACTGCATCATCAATAATGTGTTTGCTCTTGCTGTATCAGCAAAATCTTTTAAACTAATCAAAATATATTGTTTCTCTAAAGCTGAGAGTTGTTCCTAACCTTTTCCATTCTCTCATATACAGATGTCTTTGGCTCAGAAGTGACTTTAGCAATAGTTTGCTATTTAAATTAGGACTTTTTCAGCAGTATTACCCATCCACATTATGGCTGTGGAAAGGGAAAAAAAACGAGACACTTATTCACCTTCAGTATATAAATAACATATCATGCCAAAATGCTTTCCTACTCATATATCCCTTTTAAAACCGTTATATCTAGAGAGCTAGAGCTAGAAACAAAAGAGCTAGAGATAAAAGTGTGATAGGCAGTGTTGTAATGGTAAACAGTCAAAAGACTTTGACTTTTATGGCTTTCTGCATTCTCTTACAATTTCACTGTCTCTGGTGAGGAAAATTTATGTATATGCAGGCTGTAAAACCAAATTACTTTAGGAAGGAAACAATGATTATACACTATTCTACCAAATACACTATCTGGTATACTGTATGACCAGATTGTACTGTTTTGGGTCTTCTAGATTGCTCATTTCTTATCTATTGTCTATAGAGAGAACTTTGAGAAATTATCATCTGATTTAGGAGCCTTGGAAGGCGTTTGCTTATAGATTCAGGCTTTGGTGTAGGACATCTCAATACAACCTCTCTGGGGTTGCCATTTTCCATGATTTCAGATGGTCGTCTTTAACTGTTTCTAGAAAAAATAGTGGTTGCCAGATAAATATATGGATATTGCTTTATGGAATCAATAAAAAGAGGCTTTGGCATTTTTCTGTGACAAGTGCTGCATGCTGTGTAGACAGGTACCATCCATTTGTTAAGATCCCATCCGTAGGGACAGCCAGACAGCCAGTACACATATAGATATTTAATTCTAAATTATTCAGGACCATCTCCACAACATACCTTGAATGATATTATCTTCTAAATCTACTAGTTGCAAGAAAGAAATGGCAGGTAAGGAAATTTTTTCCATTTGCCAAAGTCTGAAGGTATATAGTGTTTACACAGCATGATTTTTCATAAATTCACTTTATCATTTGGCCTGCAGAATATTTAAAAAGGTGAAACAAACACCTCTTTCATTTGCTTTTGGCTGCACGGTGCGGTGGATCGAGGGCTGGCTGGATGGCAGAGCTCAGAGGGTGGTCATAAATGGGGCCGAGTCCAGTTGGAGGCCTGTGGCCAGTGGTGTCCCCCAGGGGTCAGTGCTGGGCCCAGTGCTGTTCAACTTGTTTATCAATGACCTGGACGAGGGCATGGAATGCACCCTGAGCAAGTTTGCGGATGACACCAAGCTGGGTGGAGTGGCCGACACTCCGGAGGGCTGTGCTGCTATCCAGAGGGACCTGGACAGGCTGGAGAGTTGGGCAGAGAGGAACCTCATGAGGTTCAATAAGGACAAGTGCAGGGTCCTGCACCTGGGGAGGAATAACCCCAGGCATCAGTACAGATTAGGGGTGGACCTGCTGGAAAGCACCTCCACGGAGAGGGACCTGGGAGTCCTGGTTGACACTAAGTTAACCATGAGTGAGCAGTGTGCCCTCGTGGCCAAGAAGGCCAATGGSATCCTGGCCTGCATCAGGAGGAGTGTTGCCAGCAGGTCAAGGGAGGTGATTCTGCCCCTCTACTCAGCTCTGGTGAGGCCGCACCTGGAGTACTGTGTTCAGTTCTGGGCGCCCCAGTATAGGAAGGACGTGGAGCTTCTGGAGAGGGTCCAGAGAAGGGCAACCAGGATGATYAAGGGAATGGAACATCTCTCGTATGAAGAGAGGCTGAGTGAGCTGGGCCTGTTTTCTCTGGAGAAGAGAAGGCTCAGAGGGGATATGATTAATATGTATAAGTTCAGGAAGGGAGAATGCAGGGAGGAAGGGGACAGGCTGTTCTCACTGGTGGCCCGCGATAGGACGAGGGGTAATGGCCACAAGCTGAAGCATAAGAAGTTCCGTCTCCAGGTGAGGAGCAACTTCTTTACTGTTAGGGTRACAGAGCAGTGGAACAGGCTGCCCAGGGAGGTTGTGGAGTCTCCTACTCTGGAGGTCTTCAAAACCCGCCTGGATGCCACCCTGTGCCACATGCTCTAGGTGTGCCTGCTTGAGCAGGAAGGTTGGACTAGATGATCTGTAGAGGTCCCTTCCAACCTTAAATATTCTGTGAATCTGTGAATCTCTCAAGGTGTTCTTGCTTTATATGCCAAATACGTAATTTGTGTTTTTGGGTGCATGCGCCTGTGTATTATAACTTACCGTAGGATCTTTGCCAGCCATTTTGCACTCTTCAACCTTGTTTGCTGATGCTGGCCAGAAAATCTGTGAGCAAAGAAGTAAATTTTAAGTAACTTATTATTATCTAGTTTCTTTTTAATAAAAGAAAGTTCAATGATTATCGCATTGCATAATTTAGAACAAAAATACAGTATTTTGAGAGCTTTTGAGCAGTGGACAGAGCAGTGGAACAGGCTGTGCAGGGAGGTTGTGGAGTCTCCTACTCTGGAGGTCTTCAAAACCCACCTGGATGCCACCCTGTGCCACATGCTCTAGGTGTGCCTGCTTGAGCAGGAAGGCTGGACTAGATGATCTGTAGAGGTCCCTTCCAACCTTAAATATTCTGTGATTCTGTGATTCTGTGATTTTGCATCTTCATTCTAGGACAAAAATATTTTCATTCATAAATGAAAATTAGAATGAAATAAAATAGTGCAGAAGGTCCTTGGCCAATAACTTTTTTAAATTCAGTAAAGAGAGTCTGATTTATGCTATTTGGCCCAAATATTATTACACATTTTAGAGGTAAGTTAATTTATTTAGTCTTTGTTAGAACTGAACTTGAATAAAAGCTTTTAATGTTCTCATTGCTTGTATATAAGACCGATTTTAATCTTCATCATCTTAGGTACTGTTCAACTTCTTTACTTTTACTCAACTTCTAGACATTGTTCTCACTGCATACTGCTTAAGTTCTTTAATAACTTTTCACTTTAAAAGTAAAGGTTTGAATATCTTATGATCAAATCTGCTTAAAATATTAAGATTTCCAGCTGAATTTAGTAAACTTTCCACTGCACACAACTTTTTTAAAAGTACCTCCATCTCTGGATGTTTAGCCAAATTCTATACACTCACACTGAAGTTTTTGAGCTTCCTCCATTATTTATTTGATTTCGGAATACAAAGGACATCCATTAGAAACAACTCCTCAGAAATCTAATAAGTGGTGGAGCCTGAAAACATTTTGTATAAAGACAGCTTTGGGCTTTTGCTTTTGATTGATGATTTTTTTTTTTTTTTTTTTTCTGTGCCCAAATGGATCATTAAAATGCCTTACAGCTTTATACTGCAGAATATACTTTGTACAAAAGATGCACGTCTATGAAACTGAACTTCTTACAGAATTAAAAGCAACATATTATGAGAGGGCTGAAATGCACAAAGCGGGAACGGCACAGGTTTCCAGGTAAAGGGAGCAGAATCACTGATGAGCTGTGAACTATCCAAAAGGTTAGACATGCTATTTCAGATCAAAGAAGGTCGCTCCATTACAGATGGAGATTACTGTAATATGAGGAGGAAGCAGGACATGTTCCCACCATAGGATGCATATGGCAGACAGCTGGTCTCCCTAGACTCTAACCACAATCAATTCAGGTCAACAGACATGTCCAGAAGGTGAAACCAAGCAAAGCCTAATTTAAGTGTTCCTAATCACTCTCAAGCTAGGTGTCTCTGACCCCCGTTCCCTGAGACACAGCAGTAATGCCCACAGACCAAAGGATACAATGAATTTAGTAAAACAAAGCCTAGCTGCACTTTTGAAGGTAGTATTGTAGCTTTGATAGTTTAAAGGCTAGGCATGGTCTGTAAGGTGGTAATATCTTAAGTCAGGCTTCTGGCCACACAAATACTTCTTCAATTGACTTACTTTAAAAACAGAGAAGCTGGATTTGAATTTCATCTGGAAATCAYAGAATCATTGAATGGTTGGAAGGGATCTCAGAGATCATCTAGACCAACCCCCTGCACACGCAGGGTCACCTAGAGCACGGGGCACAGGGCTGCGTCCARGCGGGTTTTAAAGATCTCCAAAGAAGGAGACTCCACAACCTCTCTGGGCAGCCTGTTCCACGGCTCTGTCTTTCTCACTGTCAAGAAATTGTTTTCTTAAGAGAATATAAGAGAAAATAAGAGAATTAGAGAGAAACTGGGGGATTTTTTTTTTAAGTGCATTCTTTTCATATGCAGGCTGCCCGCTACAGTGTCTAAGGATGTACAGTGTTCTTAGAAAACAGCATCTCAGTAAGTTAGAGAAGGAGCCAAAATATGGGACAGCAACAAGAGTGAGATTAGGGTCATGGTGTCTACAAAATGCAAACTAGAGATGTCCCAGCTATCCAGATGAAGGGCAAGGGCTGACACAGACATAACAAACGTTGAAACACAGCTCAGGGATTAGGCTTCCAAGTAGGAAACAAAAACAAATACACTTGGAGGTTCATGCCAGCTCTATCTGGTTATTTTTTCCTTGTGRCCTGAAAAAGAGAGCATTTAGCAATATGTTTTTGATAAAAGGCTTGTTTTCAAAGTGCATTTCTAAATTATCATGAAGTGTCAGGAAGACAGGAAAAATTTCATCTCCATCAAATCATATGAATTTTGCTTCTGAGGYCAAGCCATGCTGAATGACACTTTGAAACTAGTAAACTGGTCAAAAGCACTGCCCGAGGTACAAACATGTTAATATTTCCTTCAACTTGTATTACACATAAAACAAGTACTAACAGTTCCATAAGGTGTGAGGCAGGGCTACTGATGGATGCAAACTAATGAAATACAATTTTTTCCTCTTAAAAAGAAAGACAYTCAGTAAAAAGATTTTGGATTCTCAAAATAAAAGCAAATAAATGCTGAACTTACACTGAGAGGGTCCTGGCTTATATTATTAATATTCAAAGACAAAATATGATCCTTGCTGCCCACATAGATCCTGTCCTGATCTTCATCCATAAATAATATCCTGTAATCCAGGGGACTGTGAGATATTCTGTAATATTCGGAGGTCTTAGTTTCTTGCAGCTCTGTAATTATAAAGATGACAAGTTAGTAAAGAAGTTCAGTTGCCTTTCTTAGCTCATAAATGCATATAATTTTAAATAAAGAATCCTTTGAACACAAGCATGGGCAGTGAGAGAACAAAACTTCTCCTCGCACACCCTGATTAAAATGCATTGTTCTTGTAGGTTAAGTAATTAGACATATCCTCTAAAAATCAGTCATTATTTTCTTCATTCAGATAATGAATTCTTATTTTAACAGACTAATTATTTACAGCTGTGGCTTTTATGGCAGATCATATATTAATCAATGGATTCAATACATTTTAAAATCTGTGACAGCCTTAAGATCAATCAAAACTACCTGAGCACAGTTTATTTGTATTTCATAGCAGAAAAGCTCTTAGCTCTTAGCTTTTCTGCTTGGTTCACCAAGAATAGATCTCAATAATTGGCAGCTTTTTTTTTTCCTTCATCACCATACATGGTTTATTTTAAAGAAGGGGGAAAATGCATTAACCCAAGCTTAAACGGGTCCATTTATTCAGGTGTTTGTTTATGGCATTTGAACCAATCCATCAGAACTGTAGATTTAACTCTTTTTTTTTTTTTCCCACATAAAAGATTTCTTCATTGAAGTGAAGTGAAAACCATCCTTTGATCTCTGTAGTGCAGGATTGGGCCTGTAACTGGAATAGTACAAGCATTTGAAATGTAAGATCAGCCTTCCTGTCTTCGCTTGGCCAATATATTTTGGCCTCCATTCACATTTCTTTTCTCCTTAGTAATTACAGAAGCGATATTTATCAACAGTTGAGAATGCAAAATCATATTTCAATAATTTTTTCCTTATTCAAATATTTAAGTTATAATTATGCTTTCTTACCACCTCAGCATTACTACTGGATTTGTTTCCTTTAAAAGAGTGGCAAGTATACAGTGCATCTGAAAATGGCAGGAAAAACATTCCTTTATTCGTAAATCTGGAATGGAGTCCACAGCCCTTTTGTAAAGCTGAGTATCTGAGAGAATGTAGCTTATCACTGTTGCTAAAAGCTGGTTAGCTTTTGTTAAAAACTAAGTTTTTGCTAATTAAATATACATTAAAGATAAATGATTAATTTAAAATTGATCATCTAAGTCTTCCAGATAACTAGATTTATGTGGACTGGAAAATCAGAGAAACCTCTCCAAACAGAAACATTTCCAGATTTTTGCATCATTAACAAGGAAAAAAAAAGTTTTTTTTTTTTTCTGCAGGAAGAATGACTTTTCTGAAGAACTTGTATTTAGCTGGAAGCATATTTTCATATCTGAAAGTTACTGGGGAACAAATTTTGATCAGCTGTAGACTAGGTTTAGCCAAAGGCTTCAGTCTTGGGACTTTTGCCTACTACTGATCTAATGACTGAAAGAACAGTTAATGAAATATGATTTGCATTGATACACTTTTTATCACAATTGTCAAATGATTTTGCAGAAAGATGAAAAATATCTTCTGTTAAGTTATGTTTATGTTCACTTAAACTTCTGAAGAATTTCAGTAGCTTTGTTGCTCACATGAATTTAATATTGAAAATATTTCTATTTCATGTTTTTCAACAAAAAATAAACAAGATTCAGTGTTTGTACTTGAAAATGTAATTTGAAGCTATAGTCATTAAATGCATATGAACACTGACTACATTGTATGCAATGTTTACAACCTATTTTTACATCTTTCAGGAATCAGTTCTTTTACTTAATTTTAAAAATCTCCTCTGTAAGTTTTGAGGCTGGGATTTGTATCTGCTTCCCCAGAGGCATCTGGGGAATCAACTGTATAGTGCAGCCCTTTGACATCTCTGAAATTTTTGGACTGCCCTTTCACAACAAGCCTGAGATTCTTGCTCTCATCACTTTTCCTGGTGGCCCTTTGGATTTTGCTGTTAGATTTGGCAGCTGTAAGGTGAAACTCAACCTTTCCATAATCGTAAATTTGATATAGCAGAAAACCACAGATAGACGATGGTGGGGGAAGCAGCTTCCCAGATAATGCTGCCCATGGGCTTGTTAAATGCACTGCAGTGCCCCTCATTAGAGCTTCAGTGATTTTAGAAAAAACAATAACCCTGTGATTGACATCTTAGTAGAGGATCAAGATTGCATTACTTGTTGTAAACACAGACATACCTAGATACTTGATTTTTCATGATACTCATTTATGGAAATTGTTTGGATGGTTTTAATTGCTTTACAATAATAATATCCTTTGTATTTCCCTAAAGGGAAATCTGCCTCAGCCAAGCTGATAATTAGGAGAACACTTTATGCATGTCACAAGCCTATGGAAACTCAAAGAATCCATATGAAGGAAAGCCCTATACTGCAGTAGAACACTGTGCTAAAAGGTATAATCTCAAACAGTTTTGTTACTTTTATTTCWTCATTGCTTAAGCCTACAGTTTACCGGTCTTTTATGTGTCCTCAAGCAAGYGGGGAGGGAATTTATAGTTGATCAAATTTTTCTCTCTGTTAACAGAGACTTTTTTAAAATAGAGTATTTTAAATAGAAATAGAGGAAAATAGATTTTTTTAAAGATTTACTATTCTAGATGCTATTACTTGGACACAGCAAGGGTGGAGAGACACTGTAAAGTCTTCCACATTCTCTTTTATCTCCTAAAATTTTTCTAAAACAATTATCTAAACATTTAATTGGCCTTCCAGGCAAATTCTGTTTCATATTTTGGGAATTTAGCCAGACATTCTCAAAGCAGTAAACCCTGAATGGAGAATGATATYGCAGACAGTTAAGCCACTTAACACTCTCTGAATATTAATACTTTTGCTTGCCAACTAAARATTGTAATATACCCCATATGTAAATAACTCTTCCTTAATCATACAAGAATAATCTTTKTTCACCCTTTTTCTGTAGGCCAGTGAATTTAGTTTTCGCTTTCCCCAGATAAAACTGATACAAATTTGATTCCTAAAAGGACAGGTTATGTAGCTGKCTTCCCTTCTAACAACAACAAGATCCACAAGCTTCAGAGAACTCTCTCCACAGAACTATTTTTATTTTTCAACTACACATTTTGGAAGATTTCRATGCTTGGGAGTTCTCTGTGTGCATAGCATACAGCTTACCAACAATTAGAGAGGTAAGCAYTTACTTTTTAATTATCTTTGCAACYCACCACATAAAAAGTCAATGCAGSTATTATAGAAAAAATGTTATAGAAAAAATGTCTTGTGTTCTTTCACAAGAGAAACAAAAAATAAAATATACCTGTAGTATCTCTATTACTAAAGTCAAGAAAACATTTATACTAGCAACACTCAAAATTTACTGTSTTGGTCAGAACAAAACAAACTAAATATATCAGATTGGAAATCAAGGAATACAGGGATCTCTCTCCCACTAGCACACATGGTCTKTTAGACCTGAACTGTTCAATCTGCATAGAGATATATATGAATATATGTCTATGCAGAGTTAAATCCATTTGTCATACAGTCCTCTGAATGTCTTATATCATCGCTCAACACCATCCTTTCATCATCCTTAAATTACATTACCTGATGTCGGACTGCTGAAAAWGCAGCCTGACTCTTCTAATGTAAGGGATAAAATAACCCCTAATCTGTAAAATAAAATCCTAATTTAAGAAGTGTTCCACAGAATAAAACTTACACTAATACAGGTGTTTGATACTTAGGATAGAGAAACTAACACAAATTTTATCAAGGTTTCTCCAAAATATGATTATTCCTACTCATGGAGTTCTGTAAGAACTYATTACTGAAAATTTCAATACAAAAATAAATACCTTTCCATTTCACAGTTTGGTAAGCTACAGTCCAGGTATGCAAGCTTCCCTTGCCCACATTCAAAGCACCAAATTTATTCACAGACAAGAGAAACRTGGAAGAGAGCAGACCTCTCCGCACCGTAACAGCATTGGATTTCTAGTCTGGAAGGGCTTCTTTGCATTAATATCAGCTTTTCTGTCAAACATTTAATTTATACTCCCCTATGGTAAAGTACGATACATTTAATATGTTTTCCTCCACTTTCCTGCTGGCATAGGGACAGTCTCAGAAGGTTTGTTTACATGGGGAACTTCTGCTGCCCGGACTGGCATGGGTTTTATGTAGCCTTAGAGATTTGGAAGTCAGCATAACTATTCTGTTTTCTTTAATTCCTTGGTGAAGTATTGGGTTCACAAGCAACAGACCTTGTGTACACCTAGCAGTAGGCTTCACAACATCAGCCCCCAGTTAATGAGACCCTAGGACTCTCTTAAGCCTCATTAAACCCTTACTTGGTGCCAACAAATACGCTAGTCCATGCCAAATATAAAATTGCAATGCAAAATGCAATATCTCACCTTCCACGAACTGGAATAAAACCAATTTTCTCTTTTTTTTCCCCTAGAAATAAACATTTCAGTAGAATAAAATTTTTGTTATACTATCGAAATGATATAGCAACATTTTGTTCATGGTTCACTCCTGAACAAGTGAAAAAAACACATTCATATACATGTATGTAGTGTATAAATCATGTTGCTGTATTGAATGATTATATATTTTTAAAATGTGAGTGAATCTGCAAAATACACTTCAGCTAGAAGAAAAGCTCTGCTTTTTTTTCCTTTAAAACATTTTTTCCTTTCTGCTTTGTATTGGCTAACTAATCTTTTTTTGTACCTACATATTAGGAATGACTGAGAATGATCTAGTTAAAAGACACCATATTTCATGAAAATCTAATTATTTTATCTATTGTTTTTTTGGCCTTATTCCTGAATTTTTAATGTAAAGACAGAGAGGGAATGTATTATTTTTACAGTTCACATGGCATCTGTGGAGAAGTATGTTATTTATAATACTGCTTTTCATCCATGAGAATATACATTGTGACCATTTGTTTAATTCTATGCTTGCTAAAAAGAACACAGAATGTCAGATTATTTGCTTTCAAAAACTACAGAACAAGTCACCTCGCACCGTTAACATTCTTTTGCTATAAAGAT